AAAAAGAAAATTGTTACCATTTAAAAAAAAAAAAAGTCTTTTCTGCTTATAACATATTTGTAAAAGAAAATTCAAACAATGTGGAAATAAACAACTCCACCACCCCCAAGGTAACCACCGTTAGCATTTTGGTGACCCCTCCCAGATCACGTGGTATAGGTAAATAAGTTGGACATAGTTTTACATAAATAGGATCATAATAAACATACACTTTTAAATTAGTTTTAACTCACAGACATTGTTTTAAGCTAGTATTGTATTTTTTACTTTTTGTAGGTGTATGTAGACACAAACTATCTTTTAATGGAGATATATAAATGTATATATAAATGTTATATCAATGTAACAAAACGTAACCAACCCCTTATTTTATATTTAAAACTTTTCCAAATTTTCATTCTTACAAACTGTGTTATGCGTTTTTACCTATGTGTCCATCTGTCTCTTCCGGGAAAATTAGCCGAAATGTCTTGCTAGGTTAAAAAGCATATGTATTTTGAGCTAAGACACTGCCAGTGGAATTCTTTTTAGGAGGGCATTAGAATGACATTTGAATGGAATCTTCTTAAACACATCTTGGAAGACTGTCCTTGTGTGGCAGGAAGACTCATGAGCCTTGAATTTGCCCTCCTGAATGCTGCAGTGAAGGCCCGTGAGGGTCTCCCTAGAAGTGGGCTGTGGGCTGCTCTCCTGTTAGGACAGCAGCCGGCTTTGGACCCTGCAAGTCTGGGACCTCAGCTGCCACCTTATGGGCCTCTTATCCTGCTCTAAACAGCTGATATCTTACGTCCTGTGTGTAGGGAGCTCCTCTCAGCCTGGCCTTGCTGGGTGCAAGCTGCAGACCCCAGGGCTAAAGTTTAGGGTAGAGGCTGTGGTTTTTGCATGGGGACATGGTTCCTGCCGAAGCTTCCACAGAGGCCAGAGTACTGTTTGTCTGGAGGTGACCATCTCACTGTTTCTTTTCTGTCAGGGCAGAGTGGCTGGTCATATGATGAGTAACATGTTTATTTAAGCCAGTTCTCAAAGAGGACGAGGTCAGGGATTCCAGTTTGATGGGAAATAAGGCCAAGCATGGAGGCACAGCGTGGGGCTTTCTTTCAACATTGAAGCCGACAGTCCTGAGCCAAGTGATTGGTTGTGAGGCTGCCTGTGTTAGCAGGATTTCTCTTTGAAACAAATCTTTTTAAACAAAAAGCAGCATACTCCTCAGATAATGTAACAGGGCTGTGTTTCTGTTTCCAGGGTGGGTTAGGGTTGTGTACCTTCACCTATTTTTAGAAGAAAGGGATTCGTCGGCCCTTTGGATGGCCTGCCTGGTAAGCCCCACACCCTACAGCCTGCACTTCCTGCGAGTGCCTGACTATTTAGAAGCTGCTCAGAGCTGGGCGATCAGGTACTTCCCGTGGGAGGTGGAGCCCTGGTGCCCACCTGACCACACAGGCCTGCAGACTGGTCATTCCTTCCTGGATTCTCTAAACCCCACGTCTTCCTCAAGCACTGTGGCGAGCAAATTGGATAACGTTCCTGCCTTTTGAGTCAGGTGTCTCCTAGGGGCGTGTGGGGGTATGTAGCAGAGCCCCAGAGATGGGCCTGGCCCCGCAGGGCCGTGCAGATGGAGTTGGGTGATGGAGAGCCATGGGCAGGGTTAGCAGGGTCTCTGTGGGACCTGACGGAAGTGTCGCTACAGGGGTTGGTTCGTGGGAAACCTGCCGCGCTGCCTTCCCTGAAGCTGGCGGTAACTGCGCACTTCTGCGTGTCCTAGACCACATGCTCTGGGAGGCAGGGCCCCACCTGTTCATCTTTGGAAGCGTCTCCCACAGTCAGGACCCAGGTTCAGTCAGGACCTGGTTGTCTGGAGTGGATGCTACTGTTTTGTTCAACATTGCCAAAGGCAGGCAGAATGAGAAATGCCAGCCCCCTTTGGGGTTGAGCTTTCTGGCCCTTGTTGGGGATGGGCAGACACAGGTGTCAGCATGGGGATTTTAGAGGGATGATCTAGCTTCTAGTACCTTCTGAAAGTCAGGTCCTTGCCAGTCCCTTTTGACCCTGTTGATGGTACCTGGGGAGGTCAGCCAGCCCTAACTTGGCACCATAAATTATGGAGCCCTCCCCTGGGGATTCACTCATAATGGCTACAGAATTACCAGCTCTTTGCTAGTTTCCTCGTTCAGCTAAGACGATGTCTCAATAGGCCTCATCCCAGTTTGTGGTTGTGCTTCTGCTCCATTTAGCACCCCGTTACTGAGCACCCACAGGTTGGACAGTTACAGGCTCACCTCACATACGGGCTCCTGCCCTCGAGGGACTGGGGAAGACAGTGACCACCCAGGTCAGTGTGCTGTGGGAGCCAGAACGGAAGGTCCTGGAGGTTTTTCATGAGGAGATGGCACCAGGCTAAGCACAATGGGCAGACTGAAAAGCGTGTGTGAGTTCATGGGAGAAGCAACAGGTTGTGGGGCTCAGTCTCGAAGCACCAGGCTGAAGTGAGCCTGGGAAGAGATGGTAGGAGAGGACCAGGGGGCCAGCGAGCACCAAGACGGTCTGTGATTGTTCCCTTGCCTGCCAACAGTGGGTGTGCACTAATGAGCTGGGACTAGAGTAGGAAGCCCCTGGCAGAGGACGCCGTCGGCTAAGAGACCCCACAGGACTGGCAGACAGGAGAAGACATGTAGGGAAAACGCCTAGAGTGATGTACAAGCTCTGTGACCAGTTGCACTTCTCAGATGACCTCAAGTTGAGATGGGTCTTAGCATGTGGCTGATTAAAACATCTTCTGTAGGTAAGGAGTAGTTGATAGGTATCAGTCTTAAATTGTGCTCTCTTAAGCATCTTGCATTCGAACCATCTTTGCTGGAAAAGGGCACCAGGATCTGAACACATTGAAATTCTTCCTCTTAGCCACAGGCTAGCCCACTGAGTCTGCACCTAAGTTGTGGTCTTAGTGTAACAAAGCTGGGGGCACTATTTATGTTCCTATTGTTAGTCATGTTGAACCCATCGAATGTCATTCCATCTGGAGGAAAATCTTTTTAGGAAGGAGTGAAGTTACTTAAGAGAGCCTACAGTTACCTTCGACCCTGGAGGGCCCAAGAGGCAAGGACACCCCGGGGACAGGCTCTACCCGCTCTGTGTAGCCGTGTCTGTTTAAAAGGTTTTCTTGTTCCAGAGGGCAGGTGTGGGAGGCCAGGAGCCGGTGGAAGTCCAGGTGGACTCTCAAAAGCCCACGCTCCAGCTGAATCTGGCCTCAGCAGAATTCACAGGGAACAGAAGGGAGTCATCCCGCATGGGCAGCTGGACAGGAAAGGGGATGGTCTGTTTTAGAAAATGGTTTCCAAAGCCCTGTGTGAAATTACTGTGGTGCCCCTCCATCCCAGGCCCTTGGACTCACAGCTCTGGAGATGTTTGCCTATTCATTTGTTCCTTTTTTACTTTTCTTTCTCCATCACTTCCCAGACTTCCAGCACCGTTATGCCAGCCTCACCCCCTTCTCTGTGTCTGTGTGACTCCACTGGGTGGCCGTGCTGGAGAGAACACAGATGATTTACCTGCACTAGCTTGGAGTCCAGAGATATAAAAATTTCCACTGTGAACTTTTCTCTCCCAGAAGCGTAAGCAAGATTTGGATTTCCTCCTGCACAGTGGTCTGTCTTCCTGTTTTTGCCGGTATCTCTATTTTCCACACTGTCCTGTGGGAAAATGATTCAGCACGGAGGCCACCGGCCACAGCACATCCCCTGGCACCCCAGGTCTTCTCCCGAGCCGTTGCGTAGCAGCCAACACATGCAGACAGAACTGGGACGAGGCTGACAGCTGGACTGGGGAACACAGGCAGGATGCGGCCCCTGGCCCGCCAGCCCCACCCCTGCCCACCACCAGGCTGGGAGACCGTGCAGGGGAGCCTCACTACAGTGTGTATTAACCACTGATAGTGGAAAAACCTCCGTAACATAAAACTTACCATTTTAACAATTTTAAGTGTACAGTTCGGTAGGGTCAGGTGCGTTCCCACTGGTGCACGGTCGCCAGCCGTCTCCTGAACTTACATCCTCCACATTGAAACTGTACCCATTAAACCTGACATGTTGGGTGAGTTCAGGTCAAGCTCCGGTCGATACTTTCCCAGAACATATCCATGTACAGCTGATGTACGTCTGTCATCTTGTTAAAAATTTCAAATCAGAGGGTAAGGAATTATACTTTTTCTAAAAGCACATTGTCACTTGCTGATGGGAGTCACCACATCCCTGCAGAGAACCAGGCCTTCCCTGGGGGCTGCGTCTGTGGCCCAACCCTTCTCCCTCTGGCTGCTGGTGACCGCACCGGGACCCGGGGCTGGCAGGGACGGCCGTGCATGTTGTAAGTCTCAAATTACCCCAGGAGGAAGCGCCTTCCAGACACTCTGGACATAGCAGGGCATGAGCCATGACTCAGAACAGTCGGTCACCCCATCCCTGTCTTCCGCTTGCTGGGGACCCTCTGACCTGTGGGGAGTCCAGGTTGGGAAGTCATCCCGCGATGGCAGCCTCTGTGCTGCCTTTATGTGCTGGGACAGGAGAGCGCTGATGGCCTGGGGCTTCTCTGTCAGTCCAGCAACAAAGAGCTGCAGGTGTGCTTTCTCCTGGACATCTCTCATTCCGTGT